TTTTAATCAGTTTTGCATTTATTCTCTTAACGTCTTGCATGTAAAATTATAACTACTTTTGCCAATTTTTAGAATACGGATGAGTTTTTGCGGTTCTAAATATTATCGATTAATGCATAGTAACCTTCACAAAATATGATTCACCAGTTTTCGTATAGTGTAAAATATGTTAGAATCGAATAAACTTTACAAGATTGATAAATATCATGCCTAACCCAATTGAATTCTATTTTGGTTAAAAAAAAAAAGTTTCATTAAACGAAAGGATATAGTATAAAATGCATAAAGTAATACACATATACAGTGATAACGTTCAAAGAACCATTATCATCATAATGAAAAGTTATTTTGGCCCTTAATTGTAAAATTTTTCAAACTTTTTGTGATTATTTTTACTTAGGGCCCTTATTTGTAATTATTTTTCGGGCCCTTATTTGTAATTATTTTTCGGGCCCTTATACGTAATTTCCTTTGTTCGATCGCTAAATTTGCTCTTTTTTTAGATGGTCACAATATTTGACTAAAAAATCGAATTGCTCGTTTAATCACTTAATACCATCGGGATAATTGATCGTGACATATAACGTATACATCTTACACACTTTGACTATTTCGATCATATTACTTTCGTGTTTTAAATGTACGTACCAAAATTCTGCGTGAACGATTGAAAATCCTCTTGTAAGCTGTATTTCGCTTTACATTTTCCGAAAATCCTTCAACTGATCTTGAATTTATTCGTTTTTATTTAACTTATACAAACCCATAAACTCGATCATGTTTCCTTGAAGTTTTAATAATTTTCATTGAAGTTTCCAAACAAATCGTAAAATTTTTTGTATAAATCGTGTTCGTAAAAAAATTATCTATATATAGTATATAATTTTTATAATCCCATACAAAGCTCATTGTGTTTATATCACATAAAAATTGAGGAAATTCTTAAACATTGGGTAAAAATCAAAATATCACATGAAATTCCTAAACATCGGGTAAAAATCATAAAAAAATGATTCAAGGTTACTCTCGACCAAGTGTTTGTTAAACGAATTGATTAAATTATGTATTAAATTTATTGTGCATATCAGATATGCAGTACAGTAAAAAGGAAATCGAATTTTGTAAATAAACTAAGTGCGTAAAGATAGAAGTTTAGGGTTAGGGCATTAACATTAGAGACTATAACAATAGATTGTCGCTCGTTATACCGGTGTGTAAAATTTCGTTTCCGAAAATTTTAATTAGTGCACGAAGGTCGATTTAAGCACTAGTTTTTGAGTATTTTCGCTTTTTTCTTCTTCCGGAACAGTCAAATTTTGCGCACTCCGATTGGCCATAATCCTGTAACTGAAAGAATTCCTTTGAGAAAGTTCCACCGTATTTCTGTTTATTCAACACCATTTCTCTGTATACCAACTCTTTCTAACTCAAATCTTTGCTTATCATGAAACGTTCAAGGTTCGATACTGTTAGCTTTAAAAAATATATACCTTTACATAAACTCGACAATTTCGATTTTACCGATTCTAAGGTGATCGGTCGAGGAGGATTTGGAGTTGTGGTTAAATCAAAATGGAAGGATGCTTTGGAAAAACCAATTGCAATCAAGAAAAACAAAGATAAAGAAATTATTAGAAATGAGGTAAATAATCTTTGTTACAATATTTTGCGAGTATAATGCTACTAACAAACGCTTGCATAATCAGTTAAAAACCTTGTACATGGTTTGTGAGCATCGAAATATTGTGGGATTTCACGGAATTATCAAAACTTCAAACGGAGTTAATAGTATGGTTTTGCAGTTTGCAAATAACGGAAATCTACAAGAATATTTACGCCTTCACTTTTCAGAACTCAAATGGGCTGAAAAGTTGCGTATGGCTATCGAGATAACAGATGGTCTTGCGTTCATACATCAAAGACACATCGTTCACCGAGATCTTCACACGAAAAACATTCTGGTTAATAATGGAAGGATGCTTATCGCAGATTTTGGTCTATCTTTTGGTCTATCAAAACGAAGAGGTGAAAATAGAAGGACGCTTATCGCAGATTTTGGTCTATCAAAACGAAGAGGCGAAACAACTGATAGTTGCTGCGGAGTGCCGGAATACATGGATCCTAGATGTTTTTATAATCCTTCCGAATATGACCAAAAATCTGACATGTATAGCCTCGGCATGATCCTCTGGGAGATCTCGAGTTGCAGACCACCGTTCCAACATTTGGACAAAAAGGCCGTTATATTACATATATTAAATGGAAATAAAGAAATACCTGTGGAAGGTACACCATTCCAATATGTTCAACTCTACCAAGATTGCTGGGGTGACCCCAAAAACCGCCCTGATGCCAAATCAGCCCTCAAGATCCTATGCATTATTTCTAATCAATCAAAACGTGTGCAACATGCAGATCACGTCGATCTGTATGTTATACACTTTTTTTTTTATCAAAAGGGGAGCTGTTGTGTATTGCGTGAACATTATCTAAAACTGTAAAAAATATTACATATTATGTTAAAACCTGTTTATTTGTATATACATACATAATACGTATAAAATAAAATGCATACGTATATTAATTAAATTTATATATAATCTATTATTGGTTAAAAGTGAACTTGTAAACTATAATATATTTCCTTTTACTCGGCTTGCCTTATTTATTAAACAAATAACAAGGCGCTTGAGGTGTTCAAAGGGAGTTATAATTTTGAGTGCTATCCTGGTTAAGTATTTACTTTCGATTAGATTAAATAATATTATTTAAAAAACTCTATCATTATGCCACATTAAACGAAAAACAATGCTCTTATTTCCCACTTCGGGGAATAATCTGCTAGATTCCAATCAGCTGTAGAGTTGAGATCCGTGAATATTCATGGATAAAATGAAATACTTATTCGATTAGCAGTGAATATTCGGTTACACAAAATCCGTGAATAGTCAAGAATATCATGAATATCTATGAATATTCTCTAATATTCGTGTAAATATCTATGAATATTCTCTAATATTCGTGTAAATATCTATAAATATTCTCTGCATATATTCGTGTAAATATCTATGAATATTCTGTGCGAATATTTCTGTGCAAATATCTGTGTAAATATCTGTGTGAATATGAAAAACGCAATCACGTGAGATTCTCTGAATATCTGCGAATTCTCTATGAATATCCGCGAATTCTCTATAAATATCTGCAAACTCTATGAATATCTGCGAATTATCCCATGGGTACTATGTATACACCGGTGGAAAAAATCCTTCGTATTCTCATACGTTATTAATAAATACGTTATTAATAAACATATTAATAAATGTCGCAGATCATAATGAAATCGGATTAAAATGAAATGAGGGGTTTCTATTTGACTCTCTAAAACCCATTTATACTTGTTTATTATAAAACCTGCCTCTAAACCCTAATCCTAACCCTAAAAAAATGCTAAAAAAATGCACCCCAAAAATTTGTATTTTTCGGTGGCTTGTCTATTTTACACTTATCGCTCATTTCATTTTAATCTGATTTCATTTTAATCTGCCACAATAAATACATTAATAAATACACGTGATTAAAGAACATGTTTTTTTAAATTGTCATTAATAAAAGCAATGAAAGCAATAAAAAATCTTGCATTTTTATTACATTAAATAACATTTACATTATATTTTACATTGCACTATTAAAAATATTAAAAATGATAATAGAAATGGTAATGAATTCCCTTATTATTATTTGCATTGTTATTGTTATAGTTTATAATATCTTGATAAGTTGGAGGAATGTAAAGAGAAAAGCATTTAGATAGTTCATTTGATGGTGTGGAGGATCTTGAATGCAAAGGCTGAATATTTGATGGTTGTTGAATATTAGAGCTATTAGAAGTTTGAAGATGTGTAATAGTTTGGCTAATGAAGTTGTTATGCATACAGGTAGCTTAAATAGTTTAAATAGTTTTGTTTTGCGTGATGATCTTGAATTATAAGTTTTTTTTAGATGGTGTAACTTTTATGTAATTTCTCAGGTGATTGTTCAGGCAATTGTTCAGGCAATTGTTCCAATTGTTTATGCAATTGTTCAGGTGATTGTTTGTTCAATAGTTTGTATAATAAGGTAAGTGCTACTATTTTGATGCAGTTAACATTTATGATAAATGTCACATGATATATCGATCAGAGTTAGATTATTTTAGTATCATTCAATTCGTCTCATTAAGACGAATCAAATGGTACCAAAATCATCTGATTCTAATCAGTAAATAATAAGATATTATTCATTGAAGTTTGTCTTAAAAATATGTTTTTAATTTGTTGTAGTGCCTAATTTGATGCAGGTAAACATTTACAATCGATATCATGTGATATCGATCATAAACATTTACTTGTATCAAATTAGATACACCTGTTTTGGACTATTTTGGTCAAATGGTGTATCTGGAGAACTAATAATCAAAATCATATGATTTTGGTACCATTTAATTCATCTCAATGAGATAAATCGATTGGTATCAAAATCATATGATTCTGATTGATGGTTCACAAGATATCATTATTCATCAAATTAGGAACTACATCAAATTAGGTATATCTATCTTAGTTTATACGATATTTCATGCATTAGTTCATATGTTAGTTCATGTGTTGGTTCATACATTAGTTTATATAATATTGGCTTAATTAGAGAAAATAGATATTTTTCATACTAAACTTTTTCTATATTTGTTTTGTTTTAATGCCTTGTATTGATTATTTTTCTCATAATTAAAGGTTAAATAAAGTTTGTTATCATTACAACAGGAAATATTATTAAAAGCAATTCTTTTAGCATCATTACCATAGAGGCCACAAAAAAGTAATAGCCAAAAGAACACATATCATATCAAACTTTTTGTTATTATCAAGTTGTATTGCCTTATGATTAAGTATATAAAAATTTTTCTGAAGTTAATATTGATACTTTTTTAGTTTCTCCTAAACCTTCTCTTTGAAGCTTCTTCATTTTATTATCCAATATTCATAGAGTTTTATTACAATAATATGAATCTTACAAGTTGTATGACTTGATCATATTATATTCTTTAAATAGTGAGCTAGAGAGGAATAATAGCTATATATGCTTTCTGCTTTATAGTTATTTCTATCTAACTGTTTTAAATAGGTAAGAAACCTGCAAAAAAATTTTTTAATTCAGTTAATTCTTTAATATTTTAAAGACAAGTTTCGTAATTTGCAGTTTCACAAAAATGTTTAACTAAGTATAATCACTTTGTAGTGTACTTATCAGTGTTTTCAATATATGAGAAGTTTTGTAATTCAAGAACATTATCATTAGTAAGTATGGTATTAGCTCTTATTATAAAATATAAATATTTATAAAAAAAAATATAAATATATATCGATACAATAGTAAAAAAAAATTGATCTAACTTTATTTAAATATCTTATCTTATTAAAAAAATATAACGAATAATGTAGTTCTACCAGTGTATATACTGTACTAGTGGGATAAACTAGTTATTTAATAAATATCTATAGACACAGAGATATTTCATAGAATAATAGTAAAAAGTATGTGGCCAAAGGCCACATACTTTTACTATTATTCTATGAAATACTCTATATCTATAGATATCTATTAAATAACAAAAAATTCTCTAAATATCTATAAATTTCATATGATATTTATATTAAATCTGTATATATATTTATTTAGTATCATTCATAAATAACTAAAATCTGTGAATACTCATTAAATAGCTGTGATATATATTCAAAGACTCCTAATTCTAATTAGCTGGGGCCCAAAAAGTATTAATAAGAGATTTAATAGGTTAAAAGTTCTGATGCAGGTAGGTATTGTGACACATCTATGTTTTTAATAATATCTTATAATATACTGATCAAAATCAAATAAATTTAGTACTATTCAATTTATTTTATTGTAATAAATTAAATAATACAAAAATTAATCAATTTTGATTAAAGCTTAAGGAAAGCTAAATATTATAGCATAGTTATTATGTTTTTTTTCTCTTTTTTTTCTTTGGGGTAGTTGCAGGAAGAGATTAGCAAAATACCAAATATAAAAAAGGATATCTTAATACAATATATATATATATATGAATATTAATATATATGCATAGTGCACTATAATACCTTCTAACTAAAAAAACATAACACTTTTAGATAGATTTTTGAAGTTTCAAATTTTAAGTTATTTTTTAAATATAATTTTTTTTTTAATTATAAATAAAAAAATCGAATGTTATTTTATTTCAATAAATTTTGTGAATAAATATGTTTTTTTAAAAAAATTTTGCTATTAGCAATTCTTAAGTGCATTATAATATCTAACCCTCTCTTTTGCAAGAAATAAATAATATTATCATGATATTAGTAATATAAAAATTGGTCTATAAGGCACATATTATTGTATAAATTAAGGTTTCTAACTATATACGCAAGCAAATTAAATTATTTTAGCACAGACATACACATTACCAAACTTTAGTATATAGTATAGTTTAATAATAATAAAACTTAATATTTATTTTATATTAACAAAACTATTATACAATTAGATTTAAGATTTTGCCTAATATATTGTTATATATAAAATTTTTTTACTATTACAAGATTACAAAGGATTATTATTAGGGTATGTAGCATAGTTAAAAAATCTTGCATATCAGATAGTATGCTATTTGTCAAAGCTTGTACCAAGCATGCCAGGGTGCTATATTACTAAACCATATAATAAAATAAATAAATTTGATTAGTCAGTTATATACATGCAGTTTTGTATCTTTTGGAATATTTCAGAATTTTGTTTTAATTTTTCTTTCGAACTTAATTTTTTACTCATAATATTTTAGATCTATAATAAATAGCATGCCTATTGATCATTTAAGTTTTGGGCATGCCAATAGCATGCCATGGTAGTATGCTTGTAACTTCTGTACTACTCACTTTAATTATTATTATTAATATTTTTTTAGCTAAATTAGCATACTAATACTAAACAAGTTTTGCTATCTACAGTATACACAAATAATATAAATAGATATAGTCAGCTCTGAATATAACAAACCTTCCTATAACAAACTCTGAATATAATAAACTTAAAAATTTTGAAATTTCATAATAGTTAGATATAAAAAATATCATAGGTTCTTAAGAAACAGTAATTTTTCTATAATGAACTTTTTTTCTTTCAGAATTTTTAGTTTATTATAAAAACAGTTGATTGTATATATAGAATAAAAGAAAGTATAGTTTATTATAAATAAAAAACAAAAATATAAATAAATATGGCTATATATAAAGTATTAATTATATCTATTGTTAAAAGCATAATCTATTTATTGTCTGGAGCGAAGCGGAGGACACTGTTTTTACGATAGCCTGTGATCATCTAGATCACGTGGCTTTGTCTGTCCATCCGCTTTTATGAATACATAAGTTACATAAATAAATTCTCAGATCGTATTAATCCAAAGAACTAGAAAGATGAATGCCTGCTTGGCAAGACCTGAGTAAAGAGGTAGCACAGATCTTTGACAATACTACATAAAGGATTATCATGAGAACTGGTAAAACTGAATGGGACCAAGGTGTTTGGCAAGGCACTCCACCAACCAGGTTGCCAGAGAAATAACCAGAAGAAAAGGACCCAACCGTGGGGACCAGGAGCAGGTCACAGCCCTTCTAGGTCATCTGAATTGGTAGTTTGCCAAAAAGGGCAGCTTATTTTCGGAAGAATACGGTATGTAAATTTTTCTAAAAAAGCTCTTGGAATGAATTTCTTGAAGATTAGTCATCCCCATCATTATCATCGTCGTCATCAAATCCAACCATTGTCTTTAATTTCTCTAAATTCTCGGATTTTGATAAACAGAAAAGTTATTTGTCATGCACGATATTTATTATGGACCAATCCGAAATCGATCAACAGCGTTCCGCAGCAGCATAGGCTGAGAAAAAACACCTCATTTCAAATACATAACTGGCCCATTGAATTATCCCTTATGTTTTAAGATCAGATGAGTTAAAAGTAAATGAATAAAAAACCAAACTGGTGATTCGATATTTTGATTGGTTATTTATTGCATGATCGTGACCGATTCATCATGATCGATTAAACACACCATGCCGATTAAAATATCGATCATGTGTATGATCGATCAGTGACCGATTACTGACTCGATTACTGACATTTTGAGCGATCGCCATTTCTACAGCAAATGTCCAATCGTAATCAGTAAACTATTTATAAATCCGATATCGATAACCTCTTTAATAGCCAATATACTAGAAAAGGAATATTACACTAGTATATTAAACTATGATAAAAATTGCTTTCTTTATTAAAGAAACATTGTTTAAAATTTAATCTTTTTTACAAGACAAAAATACAACCAACCCTTTTAAAAATACAATCCTAATCTTAATATTAAAAATAAGCTAGAATGTCTATTCAGAATTCTCTTGAACTTCATAGTCATCTCCGTGATGTTGATCATCGAACATCTCCAATTGATCATTTTCTTCTCGTTCTTCGTCCACCTCGTGTCCTGACTGGCGTTCTGTTTGTTCATCATCCTGTTCTTCAATTTCAATTCCCATTTCCATTCCATCTGTATCATCGTCATCATAGTGTTCTTCAGAATATCCCTCCTCGTCCTCATCTTCAGAATAATTTAATTTCAAGGTTTTCACCAGAGATTCTAATTCACCATCTTGTTCACACAACTGCCTAAATAAACGTTTGGGATCCATTAAAAGATTACGTGGCGTATCAAATTCGACAATTTCTCCTTGGTCTAAGGTAAATCATATATTAGGATATTTATATATCATAATGTGTGAATAACTCAAACAAATGATAAATACGCACCAAGAACAAGAATTCGATCAGAATCTATAATATTTTTAAATTGATGTGAAATGTTCAAAACTGTGGAGTTTTGGAACTCATCATTAATAATTTCCTGTACTTTTTTTTCTGTCTCCGTGTCAAGATTATCAGTTACTATAACCAATAAAATGTTAGGAATGTTGGCTAAAATACCAATAATCGACTAGTTGAATTTATATAATTGATAAATAGTACCTTCATCCATAATAATTATCTAACAAAAGTAAATTAAACCAATACATTGGGTTGAACAACCAATTTATAGATAAGTTACAACATAAATAATAAAACTATTATCCATACTTTAGGTTGTCTTAATAACGCCCTCGCAAAACAAAATAATTGCCTTTGGCCTCGGGAGAAGTTGCTACCGCCTTCATTTACTGGATCTTCTAAACTTGTTATCGGCCCAATGATTAAGGATTGTCTGTTTGGTAAGTTTTCTTCTATTTCCACATGAACAAGACGAGCTCGCCTTAATGATTCCCATAAATCATGATCATCATATTCTAACCGAATGTCTAAATTTGACCGAATAGTCCCTTCAAAAAGTATAGGTTCTGATTTAAAATAATAAATTAATGAATCAAATTAATAATGATTAATAAGTTAAATATAATAAAATATTATATATCACAAACCTTGAGATATAATAGTAAATCTTGACCTAAGATCTTCTAAACTAATATCTGCAATATTAATTCCATCAATCATAATCCGGCCCTCGGTAGCCTCTACCAACCTTAAGAATGAATTCGCCAAAGTAGATTTGCCAGCACCTGCTCTATTGTTGGTAAACAAAAATGATTTAATTAAAAATCATGTATAATTAAGCTAGAAAAACGTCACAATTGACTTTAGAGTAATGTATGTATTTTCACCTTCCAACAATACCAATTTTTTCTTTATCTTGAACATTGAATGAAATATTCCGGAGTATAGGTTCATCTTTTAATGTATGGTTAACTGTTAGATTGGACACCTCAATTTCACCACTGGTTGGCCACTGTGTTTAAATAATGTAAACAATATGAAAATTTGTACTGTCATCCTAAAATCCTAAAATAGATATATATATAAACTCGTCAATATCTTACTGCAGCTGGAGGACGTGCACTTGAGATTGATAAAAGTTCTTGTGGCATATCAATATATTCCTTTACGCGTTCCATACTAGAACGTACAAAATATGTAAAAAAGTTTTTTTTTTTTTAATTCACATCACATATTAAACACATTAATAAAAAATTTTTTAATAGCACATACCTATTTAGGTTGGATTCCATGGATGAATAATCCTTGACTAACATCTATGAATAAATAAACTTAAATATATTGATTTTTTA